TCCAGCACAATCACATACGAATATGACACCGATCTAAAAGAATTAAAAAAAAAGCAACATGAAGGCAATACACCTCATATTTGTCGTCTTTTGAAAAAAACTTTCACAGGACGACGAAAATGGATTGAGTCGGATCAAGCTAAAAGTATATCTGAAATCATTAGTGAATTTCCTCATCTCACCAATTATGATTTGGTAAATGTTTTGAATAATAACCATGTGGATATGTACATATAGAAAAAATATCAAACAATATTTCCATTATGTTTGAAAAATTGAGAAAATTTTTTAACATTCAAGAAAATAATGATAAATCAAAGGCAGTTATAACACATGTACTGTTTAAAGTAAAACGTTTAAAATGTTTTAATAATTTAAACATCTCCAAATGATTAAAAAATGAGCATCACTATTTAAGTACGTAAACGTTTTGAAAAGAAACACTTCAGCAAGTTATAATAAAACACTTAAATTTACAGTGCATAAATGAATTAATTTAAATATCGACTTAGAGTATTATTGATTTAAAATCATCAACACTGAGATAATTTAAAGACTCTTAAAGGACACAGTAAAAAATATCGATGCAGGCTCCCGTATTGCTTTTAAAAATTTCAATGAATCAACAATTATCTTCTCAAGACGTTTTTTTGTCACAGAAGTTTGTCGCTGTTCTAATTTACGTTGTGCTGACTCTATTGCAACACGATATCTACGAACAATGTGAACGATTTTTCGACTCCAAATTGCCATTCATAGTTGAAGAAAACGACAATGATACGCCATGAGCTGGTTCTAAAACTTCTCCATTTGGTGATAAAGCTACTTTGGCTGGTGTAATATTTTCCCGTGTTCCAGATAATGAAAGTCTTGGATCCCTTTGGACCTTTGAAAGTGCAATAAAATTAGAAAAAAAGTAGAAGTTAGTAGAAGTATTTGAGTTTTTATTATTAACTTTATTAATAAATGTCATTAACTTAAAAAATACCAATTAATTTCCGAAGCATGGGAAACTTTTAATTGTCCATATTGGTTGTAAATACATAAATATATAGATTTTTTAATTTTGTTCCCAGTTAATAATTCTTAATAGCTAATAGCTAAGTACTTTAAACTTATATCTTAATGATTCTAAAATAATTTTTGTTACTCAATTTTCTTATTCCTAATAACGAGGAGCTCTGGTTCATAAATGTTATTAAATCAGAGTCGAGTGTTGAGATGTTATTATGAACGTTTTTGATTAATGTTATTAATTCAATCGATGCTAACGAGACATGAGTAATTTTAAGTATTTCAAGGTTTTCGAAGTATATATTGTTAAATTTATTCTTTGAAGTTTTTTTAAATTAATAAGAGAATTTTCTCTTTTCAATTCTTGTTCAGAGGAGTGCAAGTACATTATTATCCAAACTTTCTAATTCTATGTTATTATTAATTTTATTGCACTCTTGAAGATTCGACAGGTAGTTATAAAGGTTTGCCTACTTGGAATAAAAAATATAAGAGAACATCAAGCAAAACTTGACAATTTCCAAAAATATTTACGATCATTTGTTAGTGAAGACTATTACTCTGAGCGATTGTACTTTTCTTAGATGATGAGCAATTCTCCAGACACTAAATAACAAAGCATGGGAAATTCCCAATTGTCCGTATTGGTTATCAATATATAAATATATAGATTTTTTAATTTCATTTTCAATTAATAATTCTTGACAACTAATAGATAATTACTATAAATTTATGTCTTAAAAAATTCTTTTTTCTCAATAACTAAAAAGTTATGTCGCTAAATGCTATCAAACCAGAGTCGAATATTAAGATTTTATTATTAACGTTGTTAATAAATGTTATCAATTCAATAGATGCTGATTGTATAGTAAAAAAGGAGACATTTTTTTCAATTTTTTTTTGTTTTTTTTCTAAATTTATAATTCTCAATAACTAATCGCTATGTACTTATGTCAATGAAAAGTAACTAAATTAAGAAATGCTACTTTTATAGAAAAAATCGATATAAGAAATTTTATTTACAACAAATAAATAGATGTAGACATTACATTCTGACATATAATAATACAATTACTACATTACAATATCATACATGTATTCCAGTCTTTAAACACAATATGTAAAAAATTAAATTTAGCTCAAAAAATGCCATTAAAAAATATGACATTTAACAAATATAAATTATTAAGTTAATATACAAAGTACGTTTTAATTAATTAATAAAATAAAATTGATTTTCGAAATAATCTATCACATATGATAGTAAAATTATTTTCATATCACACATTCTTTTCAGTCTTCGAAAACATTTCCAATAAATTTAATTTAAGTTTAATTCGCAATCTATCTCGAAAAAATAGATTATTCAGAAAAATTTAATCTCTGTATAAATATTATTTCAATTTGATAATAATAATTATTAACGAATTATGAACCTAAAAGTTAATGTGATCAATTTTTCTATCAATTCTTATCTACGTCGTTTACATGGTGGAGGCAAACAATCAGAATCATCTTCAAATTTATACATATCAATATAATTACATAAAATTTTCGAAGTAATATTCCATTGGTATATTTCTTGAACTCTTCTTTGAATTCTTGTAACTTTAGCTAAATCTTGTACAGGTACCACTCCAGGAACTCCAGCCATGAAAACTGCATTTTTAACAATATGTTTTTTACGTCTTCGAGTATGTTTCCTACCTCCAAATTGGTCATGTTCTTTCTCGTCCCCTCTGGAGTTGGCGTATTAAAAACACCAATCTGGACGTGGTGGTGCAGGCGGTGCACAATTCTTATCATCATATCGTCTGTATAATTCTTTGATGTAGTCGTCCTTGTAAATTCCAGGAGGTCTGATAGATAAGAATTCACTAATAGCAGCGTCCAAATTAAATGTACCACTTTTAACTAAGTAGCTTATTAAAAGAAACCCAGTTCTATTGAAACCATGGGTGCTAAGGACTCCAATAATCTCCGATGGATTTTGTGCAATAAAATTTTTGCAAATTTCAATAAAAACCTTGGTTTGTTTAATGGAAGGAGTTTCTCCATGACCTCGACATTGAAGTTTGGGGTAACGACAACCGTGGCCTTCGACGTCAGCTTTATTATAAAATCTGTTAGTATTTGTCAAATCTATCAGTTATCCCATTTTCAGTCTTTGACTCTTTAATGATGTAAACAACATGTTCACAGAAAAACGACATTCTTCAGGAACTTGACTATTATATTTTTCTGATAGTGGTATTTTAAATGCAAGAAATTGATTGTTTATTAATTTTATACTTTTTCGAGGACAGTGCAACCATCGTGGAGGGATTATCCCTTTGCTGTTTTCGGCGACCCAACTTGACATTTTCCGTTCACTTGACCTCAACTGTATAAATCAAACTTCTTCTTTTACAAACACACACTTTTACGTTTGAATGTTCGCTTTTGGGTTTTGATTATGCAAATGTTGCATAAAGTTGAAGCTGCACTTGTATTGTCACAAAAAAAACAGAGCAAAAAATACACGGTGTGCACTGGTTAACATCTAAGTCTCAAGTGGTTGGAAACTGTTTTCGTTGCCTAGACTACTAGTCTTGTGCGCCGGCTGGCGGTAAAACTAAATGTCGTGTCACCGTGCGCCACCTGGTAGCGCATTGGATGCCTCCAGTGGCATGGCTATGAAACAACAAACATTCCGGCAGTAATGGCAATAATCTGCATATAAATAAAAAGCTTGTTGATAAAGGGAACCAATGACTAATTTATTATACAAACATTAATTAGTGAAAAATATGCTTGTGTACGCGCGTATATTAGATAAATAATTTTATTCATGCGTAAGTTTTTATGTGTATTTGGAGATTATCATCAATAAATAAGAATTTATTACTTTGTGTAATTTGAGTTGAATATATATCTAGAGTAGCGGTAGATACTCGGCGCCAAGTGCACATTCACCTTTTCCCTCTCTCTCTCTCTTTCTCACTAGCGCGCTCTTTCCCCCATGAGCGCCGAGGCTACCGACTACTCTATACACGAAAAATTTTGTGTGACGTCATCAACGCATCTTTATATGCAAATATCTTTATAATTGCTACATATTATGATTTCATATTTAATAGGTAGTTATCTTATATCATGAGCTTCCAATTAAACGTTAAACGAGAATTTTTTATTAATTATTAACGGAGTTATAAATAAGCCACGCCCCTAACAGCGATATTTCTGCTATTCAAGATTTTTTCGCTCGCTGTTTCACTCTACTTAATCGAGCGCTATATCATGTGTTCTCTCTTACTGAATGTGTCTTTTGTCACTTTCTTTCACATTGGGCTCCCTACAGTGCCCTCTTTCTTGCGTTACGTATTGTAATCACTCTCTTTCACGTTAACCTCGTGATCAAGAGACACGTTTATTTTAGTAGTGTCTCGAGCGCCAAGTATGAATAGCGGTGACGAAGGCACTACCGTGTCTCTATTCCGCTCAAATTAGCACTTTTGAGGTTACGCTCCTTTAAATTTCTAATTTCTCTGCAATGATGACATAAACTTTATTAAATAATCTTTGAAAACCCCATTGATTAGCTACGACAATAAATTGCAATTACTATTGTGTCCTCAAAATCATTTATTTGCAAAAAAAAAATTGGCCACGCCCCTTGGACCGCATTTTAAGTAAAAAGAATCTTTTTCCTTAAAAGTACGATTTTTTTTTATAAAGTTGGTACTACCATGAAGTTGCTGCATGACTATGGAAAATATTATGTTGGTAAAAAACGAAAGAATTACTGAGGCGCCAAATTATGAATGTAAATTTTTTTTGGTATAAAAAATTAATAAAAAGTAATAAAGTTTTGGGGAGTGTATCAATTGATATACCGTGTACCTAGAGATGTGAATCGGTAATTGACGGGTAAATTTACCGTAAATTACCGGTAAAAAACGCGTCAATGACCAAGCCTGTTTTACCATACCGGTCAGAAGAATGCTGATCTCTGATTGGTTAATACATGTCCAATCACAGTTTAGAATTCCCAACGGCATACAACTGTTTATTTGTTCTATCAGGTATATATTTTCATTTTTATTTGTTTATTAAAAATACTGATAATATTTAATATAAGAAAATTCAATTTGTAGATAAGGATTTTCATTGAGAACTTGGTGCAATGGGGGAGAACAAATCAATATATAAACATCAATTATAAATCTTGGTGATAAATTAAATCTAAATAGTGATAAGGTATTAAAAGATTTAACAGATTATGTGTCAGAATCAAGTATGTGGAGTTACGACTACGTTAAGCGAGCAAGTATAATCACTTCAGCATGTCAATGGTGGCAAAGTATTTGCCAAAAATCTTCGTTGAGCAAAATAGCTGTGGCTATATTGACTTTACCTGCAACATCAGCTGCAACCGAGCGTTCCTTTAGTACACAAGGATGGATTCATTCATCTAAAAGAAATAAGTTAAGTATCGATAGAGCTGGAAAAATAACATACATTGCAAGAAATTTAAAATTACTTAATCCTTCACCAAAAAATACAGAAGAAGAATGGGAAGAAGATGAGGAAAGTAATAAAGGAGAGGATGAAATAAGTGAAATTTGTGCTGAGCATGAAGAAGTTGAATTTTTAGAAGAAGAATTTACTCAAGACTAATTAGTGATGTTGATGGAATTGAATCAGTATTAGACTTGTTATTTCCTAATGAAATATGTCAATTATTATGTGATATTACTAGTTGATAAAAACTATAGATTATATGGTTTTATTTTTTCATAAATAATTTACATAAAAGTTAAAAAAGTCAAATTCTTTATAATATGTAATAACGAAGGATTATCTATTTTATAAAAAAAAATGTACCAAAAACTTAACTAAATAAACGTTTATAATAATTTTCAATATATTTATTATTTCTGTCCTAACAGTCAAAAATGTAAAATATTTTTTTTATTACAAATTACAAAATTTTTTTTTCATCTTATAATAATTAATTAGTTTTAAATTAACAAGTGCAAAAAGCAAAATTAACTTAAGCAAATTGGCAAGCAAGTTCGAAAGCAAGCCATTTCCTCAGTAAAAAGCTCATCATATTCATCTATATAGATGCGAATGACCGGTAATTTACGGTAATTACGCTGACCGACGGCTTGACGGTAAATTTTACATTCAGAATTTTTTGACGTCAGAATACCGTCAGATACCGGTAATTTTACGTAGTAATTACCGAATTTTCTATTACCGGTAAATTCACATCTCTACGTGTACCTATTACTTAAATAAAACAACCATCTTTCAATAAATGTTCTTTTAGCGCTGGTGAGGGAAAAATCTCAAGCTGCGAAACAAAATGTAAAGGTTATTTTATTGCAATAACAATGAAGTAAAGTACAACCAAATGAACATTGTCATTTTATAGTTCAATGTCTTTTTCCAGATATTACACATCAAAAAGAAAAAAAGAAGAAGAAGAGAAGTTGGAAAAGAAAAGAAAAGGGTTTGACAAATTATTAAAAATATTAGGAGAAAATTAAGTAGATTTAAAATCATGTTTTCATGTGTTTTTGAATTTTTTATAATTTTGAGGTACAGATAAATTTAAAAATATACTTTTTTTGGTAAATAAATAAAAAAATATAAAAAAAATAATCAATGAATATTCTACTAATCATAATGAATATACTTTATATCCAATAAATACATGTACTAGAGGATCATTGAATAAATAAACACAATGAACGGTTGAAACTGTTTCTACTCTACCAACATTGTAAATTTACTGCTAGCACATTTCGAAAGGGGCACAAATGTTATATGACCAAAATGTTCAGGACAGTATAATTCTGGTACAAATGTCGCTCCAGTACAATAGTATAAGGCATTTAAGACGCAACAGTTAAAATTGTGTTAAAATTATTAATAATTTTTTTCAAAATTACTTTTTATTTGAATTAAGTTTTTGGGAAAATTCTAAATATAGATTTACAGAAGAATTCAAATAGTTATTCTGTTGACTTTTGATTCACTCTCATGTGAATGCAGCATGAATCTTCTGTCTACTTACGACTTCATTCTGAACGGTCAATTTCCCCCTAAAGAAAACCAAAGTGTACAAAGTCCAGAGATTGTTATTTATTTCATAATGTTTAACGAAAATTAAGTGACTCATAAATGATAAGTAAGGTAGCTAATCTATTTTTTACATTTAATCACAATAATTAAAAATTGAACATAATAAGTATTTCTTTTCTTTTATTTGTAGGAAATTCTCATGAAAAAAGTTGATGGTGGGAATGCAATAGAAGAGAAATTGTATCCTACTAAATTGAAGAAAAAGAGAGGAGAAAAAATTTAAAGAATAGAACTAAAATTTATGTGCTCATATGAATTATTGCACTAATTGTTTTACTTACATCTCCTCACTTATTACTTTTTAGATTTTATAAGTTAAAATCAGAAAAGGCGCAAAAATCTAATATGCCGGAAAATTTAAGGTGCCGCTTCTAATTCTGAACCTGCGTGGATGTTATGCGCGACGATCGATCGTACATTCAGCGCTGTCATTATGCCGTGTCCGTATTATGCCGACCGAGTTTTTCGGTATCGAAAACGACAAATATTTATGTACATTTTAAGTTGATAGGTAATACATAGAATGTATTACCGATGGTTTGACGTTTTAAAAAAAATCGTTTTACGTTTTTTGAAAACTAATTCATGTCCTTCAATCAATAATTTTGTTTATATCTCAAGATCGGTAAAAGATAACAATTTTTTTTTTATTGAGTTGATAGTTAAATACTACCAGACTGAAGACTATTATACAGTACCGGACATAAATGCTGTGTGATTTTCTATAGGACGGTATAGGAAAATCGCCTGTAGAACCCTTAAACAATTGAACAGCATTTATGTCTGGTACTGTACAATCTATATACAGATAGTGATGTCTGTTCTAAAATTCCATGTCGTAGTAACGGAGTCGAATAATATATATTCCATTTGTTGTACAAAAAATCGTGAAATCACACCAAAAACAGCCCTAACGGACTTCACAAAAATACGCGCCAAGTATGAATAACGAAGACGATAATCATCGTTCATCAAGTGCGATCTCTATAAAACTTCTTTATGTGAACAACTACAAAAATGCATGAAATCATTGCAGCCAAGTATTTGAACATAAAGATTAATTATATTTAATAAAATAAAATAGAAATGTTTTTTAATTTTCGTTAAATTATTATGTAATTTTTTACATAAATCAAAGACAAACTCTTTATAATGAGATAAAAAAAAATTCAATACATGAAGAAAGTTCCCAGCCTTATTACGTTTTAAAATTTTAAAAATAGAAAAAAAAATTGAATTAAAAACAAAATTTCTCTTTTTTTATAAAAATTTATTTAAACACAATTAACTTGGCGTGGCTCTTACAGCTGTAGATAAAACTATAATTGATTAGATGGTTCATATAATCGATAGCCACGCCAAGTTAATTGTGTTTAAATAAATTTTTATAAAAAAAGAGAAATTTTGTTTTTAATTCAATTTTTTTTTCTATTTTTAAAATTTTAAAACGTAATAAGGCTGGGAACTTTCTTCATGTATTGAATTTTTTTTTATCTCATTATAAAGAGTTTGTCTTTGATTTATGTAAAAAATTACATAATAATTTAACGAAAATTAAAAAACATTTCTATTTTATTTTATTAAATATAATTAATCTTTATGTTCAAATACTTGGCTGCAATGATTTCATGCATTTTTGTAGTTGTTCACATAAAGAAGTTTTATAGAGATCGCACTTGATGAACGATGATTATCGTCTTCGTTATTCATACTTGGCGCGTATTTTTGTGAAGTCCGTCAGGGCTGTTTTTGGTGTGATATTTTCTTCTCTCTTGCCTAATCAAGAGATATCTATGTTCTGAATAATGAAAAATGTTTCCCGCGTGTTGTATATCGATTTAAATAAACTTTTTTAGGAATTATTGGTAAAGAAAAGTATTAAATAATCAATAAAAAATAAGTCTTTGAAGAATAAAAACAACAAAAGAATATGATTAAAAAAATAAAAAGTGTTTCCCGCGTGTTGCATATCGATTTTAATAGATTTCATTTGGAATCATGGATAAAATGATGTTCTAGATGATTGAAAGAAGAAACAATTATAATAAATATCCAAAATTGTTATAAATTTTGTGGTTGGCTTCAAATAATGTCTTATTGCAATATCATATTTTTCACTATTTTCATAAGACATTATTCCATTGAACTTTTTTCTATTTCAGAAAAATAGAAAACTGGCTTGGCGAAGTAATAAAAGAGCAGAAAATACACCTATGTAGCATAGGGACTACCTAAAATTGTTATAAATTTTGTGGTTGGCTTTAAATAATGTCTCATTGAAATATCATATTTTTCACTATTTTCATAAGACATTATTCCATTGAACTTTTTTCTATTTCAGAAAAATAGAAAACTGGCTTGGCGAAGTAATAAAAGAGCAGAAAATACACCTATGTAGCATAGGAACTACCTAAAATTGTTATAAATTTTGTGGTTGGCTTTAAATAATGTCTTATTGAAATATCATATTTTTCACTATTTTCATAAGACATTATTTCATTGAACTTTTTTCTAGTTCAGAAAAATAAGAAACTGGCTTGGCAAAGTAATAAAAGAGCCGAAAATACACCTATGTAGCATAGGAACTACCTAAAATTGTTATAAATTTTTAAATTTTCGAAATAAATAAAAATAAAAATTAAATAATTTTTAACGTTGTCGTCTTGAGACAGCACGCTCGGAGAGCGCGCGTTGTTTCTAGTAACCTTATTGAACAAAAAAATTAATTTGGAAGAAGAAAATTTTTTTGGAAGTTTGGTGACTGTCTTCAAAATTCCAATTCGTCATTAAACTTTTATTTTGATCGCACGAAATGTTACCGAACTTTCACTTGCACGTATATATACTACTATATAAATTTCTGGTGTCTATCTGTCTGTACGGGGTAATCTCCAAAACGGTTAATTCGATTACGACCAAATTTAACAGATATGTAGAGGGGGTTGTTCGGAAAGTTATATGCTACTTTTTGTTAATGTGAATTGTTTATAACAATTAAATTTGTTATAAACAATTGAAAACAGGATTTATTCAATTTGAGATCTTTCAGCGGGAAATTTTTTCTACTACTGAAACAATGTTATCCACTGTGTAAAATGAATATAAACATACTTCTTTTGTTCGTAACATACCATTTGTTGTAAAAGAACAGAAATTGAGTTTTACGATCATTTCCTTTCATCATCAGTAAGAGTGCTCCTGTAACTGGAGGAGTTACCCAGTGAACACAGAGTGTAAATGTGACAGTCACTAAAATTCCATATCAATACTATTCGTTTCAATCTTCAATATCCGTTATTAGGTAAAAAATTAAAAAACTAATTGTGATAAATCTATTTTTTGTAACAAATTTTGATATTTCCTCAGTTATTCTGCTCCTTTTAGATTCTTGAAGAACAGAACTCATTATATTATATGGTTCTTAACCGTATATCCGACGTTTATCGTATTTTTCTGTTACTTTTCTTTTTTTTATAGATTTCAAAATTTTTTTGGAAGTTTGATGACTGTCACCAAACTTCCATAATCGTTGTAGGGAAGTTTGGTGACAGTCACCAAAATTCCAATTCGTCACCAAACTTCCACTTTGGTCGCACAAAATGTTACCAAACGTCCACTTGCATGTATATATATATATATATATATATATATATGTATATACTTCTACTGTTATTCAAGAGGAACGCTTCAACTTCATAGCTATAGATATTATATCAACGTTACTATGTCAGTAACACGGATGATTTGGTGATGTGAACTTACAAGTTTGTCCCCTACTAAAAATTGCTCCAACGCGCCTGAAGAAGTTTTCACTTCAAAAAGAAGTGAAATCCGCACAAAACAGGCATCTAGGAATGCCTGTAAAAACTGGCGCCAAGTCCACATTCAAGTAAAATTAGTATAAATGGAAAAAAGGTAAGATCAAAAAAACATGTGAAATCAAGTAAAACGCCAAGTTAGCTGCGTCTTTTTTCATAATTTTTTCGAACTAGCAATGTACTATTGACTTATAAAATTTCAGTTAATTTTGAAGTACCAAAAAAAAAATCTTCAAAACCAAAAAACTATGGAACTTGGCCCAATTTTTTAAATTCTTTCAACAGTTCCATATATTATAGTTCGTACATAAGAACATTTGAAACTGAATTGGGCAGACTTTAAAGACAAAATTGGGCCAAGTTCCATAGTTTTTTGGTTTTGAAGATTTTTTTTCTTGTACTTCAAAATTAACTGAAATTTTATAAGTCAATAGTACATTGCTAGTTCGAAAAAATTATGAAAAAAGACGCAGCTAACTTGGCGTTTTACTTGATTTCACATGTTTTTTTGATCTTACCTTTTTTCCATTTATACTAATTTTACTTGAATGTGGACTTGGCGCCAGTTTTTACAGGCATTCCTAGATGCCTGTTTTGTGCGGATCATCAATCTCGACCTTAATCTTCGACGCAATTTTACATGGTCTTCCGTTATTGCTGACATACCTGCTGCAATAATTGGAGCTGATTTTCTTGCACATTTTGGTGGAATTATTACAAACAGGCAACCTGCAGTAACAGTGAAAGTTTGACAGCTAAAAGGTAAAAAAGCTGAGATCCATAACTTACTGGACGTTGGTGATCATAGACCTTCTAGTAGTAATTGGGCTAGTCCTATTCATCTGACACCAAAAAAGGGTAACTCGTGGAGAATGTGTGGCGATTACCGGAAGCTCAATAGTATTATACAGCCAAATAAATATCCTCCACCAAACATCCGCAACCTATTTCCATTGCTTCATGGAAAAAAAATGTTTTCAACAATAGATCTCAACGAAGCATGTCACCAGATTCCGATGCACGAAGATGACATACCCAAGACTGCCATCATTACACCATGCGGTCTTTTTGAATATGTCGTTATGCCATTTGGATTGAAGAATGCAACTCAAACTTTCCAGAGATTTATGGATTTCATTTTTAGAGACCTGGATTTCATTTTTGTTTACATCGACGATATCTTGGTTATGAAAAGCAGCATAAAGAGTATCTCAACAAGGTCTTCGAGAAACTCTAAGACTACTCACTCAACATCAATACCTCAAAATGTGTTTTTGGTCAGCCACAAGTCAACTTTCTAGGTTACACTTTGAACTCTCAAGGTTTTTCATCAACAGCAGAAGGACTTGAAAAAATTCGTCAATTTCCAAGGCCTGAAACAGTTATGGAACTTCAAAGGTTCTTGGGCATGATAAACTATTACCGCCGTTGTATTCCTGAAGCTGCGAAACTACAAAAACCACTTTATGAATATCTAAAAGCTACTTAGAAAAATTATGAAACCAAAATATCTTGGACAAAAGAATCAATTGAAGCTTTTGATGCATGTCAACAATGCTTAACCTCAATTACTCGTTTCGCTTTTCTATCACCTACCACAGATCTAGCTCTCTCTACTGATGCTTCTTTAACTGGCATTGGAGCAACATTAGATCAATTTGAAGATGGTACTTGGAAACCATTGGGACATTACTCGAGAAAACTAAGCAGTTCTGAACGTAATTACTGCACTTACGACCGGGAATTGTTAGCAGTTTTCGCGGGAATAAAACATTTTCAAGATCTACTTGATGGTCGTCATTTTATTGTTAGAACTGACCACAAACCTCTCATCTATGCTTTTCAACAAAGGTTAGATAAAGCTTCAGAACGCCAACGTAGACAACTCGACTACATTTCACAGTACACTACAGACATTGTTTATGTGAAGGGCAATGAAAACGTAGTTGCCGATGCCCTGTCACAAATTAATACTCTAGATATGCCTACAAGACTCTCTCTTGAAACCATACAAAAAGCCTAAGAAGATGATGAAGAGTTAAAAGATCTGATCGAGAATCCAACTTCACTTAAACTCCAACAACTGGATATAGAAGGTACCAAAATCTACTGTGATATTTCTGATAGTATTGTTCGACCTTACATTCCAAAGACTCTGAGAAAGACTGCTTTTGATGTGATACATTGTGTTACTCAATTCGAGTCTTCACTCTTTCAAGCTTTCGCTGCAGATAGTAGAGAGATGGCACAGAACTCTGAAGACAGCTCTAATGTGCTCACCTGAACCATGGACCAAAATATGACCTACAACTCTACTCGGACTCAGAATGAGTTACAAAGAAAATATGAAAGCTACTCCAGCTGAAATGGTGTATGGAACTACTCTAAGATTACCGGGTGGATTCTTTGTTACGAGCGAAGTGAATCCTGATCCAGAGAGATTTTTGCAAAAGCATGGTGAATACATGCATGCCTTACGGCCGACGGCGACTGCACACCACTCAAGATCTAAAATGTTCATTTTGAAAAGCTTAGATACCTGTTCTCATGTCTTCATCCGCTCAGACCACGTGAAAGTACCTTTAGAACCGCCATACTCTGGTCCCTTCAAGGTGGAAGACAGAATATCAGACCGTGTCTTCAAAATAAATGTAAATGGTGAGATTAAAACAATTTCTATTAACCGCCTTAAACTGGCATTCATCACCAAAACTGATGACTTGTGCAATGAAGGAGATCCTCTTCCTGTCCAGCCACTGCGACCACATCATTGATAAGCCTCGTTGGACCGTTCTGTTAAAACGTATCAGAGGAAAGTCACTTTCAAATCTCCCCCAGGGCCTCATACGTCGAGGGGGGGGGGTGGCCGCATTGACCTAACAACGACGCCTTTACCGATCAAGAAGCCTAACTTTGCCCAGATAGCAGCGCGCCCAGTGGTAAGCCTGGTAACCGCTGGCAAGCCAGTTTACCGGCAGTTAATCTCCAGCCTTTGTCTGTGACGCTTAAGCTGTAGAAAAAAGACTTAACACTTTCGCGAATTCTAATTGTTTAAATAAATATATAATTTTTTATAAGTATTCTTCTGCAATGTATTGTAGTGATAATCCCCATTTAGCTCATAACCACTACACCAGGTAGCGACGAAAACAGTTTGAAATCACTTGAGACTTAGATGTCAACCAGTGCACATTGTGTACTTTTTGCTTTGTTTTTTTTGTAAAAATACAAGTGCAGCTTCAATTTTATGCAACATTTGCATAATCAAAACGCAAGAGCGAACATCTAAACGTAAAATTGAGTGTTTGTAAGAGAAAAAGTTTGATTTATACAGCTGAGGTCAAGTTAACGAACAATGTCAAGTTGGAGGGCCAAAAATAGCAAAGGGGTGATCCCTCCACGATGGTTACACTGTCCTCGAAAAAGTTTAAAATTAATAAACAATCAATTTCTTGCATTTAAAAAACGACTATCAGAAGAATATAATAGTCAAGTTTCTGAAGAATGTCGTTTTTCTGTGACCATGTTGTTTACATCATTAAAGAGTCGAAGACTGAAAATGGGATTACTGATAGATTTGACAAATACCCCCAGATTTTATGATAAAGCTGATGTTAAATATCATGGTCGTCGTTATTACAAGCTCCAATATCGTGGACATGAAGAAGCTCCCTGTATAGAATAAACAAAAGTTTTTATCGAAATTTTCAGAAATTATATGGCTTGTAATCCATCTGAGATCATTGGAGTTCATTGCACCCACGGTTTTAATAGAACTGGGTTTCTTTTGATAAGCTACTTAGTTGAAAGTGGTACATTTTAGTCCAGTCATATTAGATTTTAAATCGTGAAATCTTGAAATGGACAAAATTTTAATAGACTATTTGTAGGGGATGTAGAATTAGTTTCCCCTAAAAAAAAGTGAGCTCCGACACCGGGCAAGGGTTGAAATCACCCTTTAAACGCTTTTTTATGCATTTTTTCATGTTTGTTCTCATTTTTTTCGAGAACTATAACAGATATGGAAAAATATTTTAAACAAAAGTTGTAGCGGCTACAATTTTACATAAAAAAGTCCGCATCTTCGCAACCTTACCTGTAACAGGTAAAAAGTTATTGACCTCTAAAGGTTGGAAAAATTCAAAACAATGAAAATATTGAACACCCTTTAGGCACGATACTGCTGTGAGAGAAACAAAGCGATATGTCAGCGCTTGTCACACTCATTGCGAGTACTTTATCATAATAAACGTGCCTAAACGAAACACAACGTAAACAAAACCCATGGGATAGACAAGGAGGGTTATGTTTATGTATTCAAAATATAGGAAAGGATAGCTGACATCACAAGGTCAGCATTTGTAAGACTTTAAAGAAAACTAAGTGATCACCAGCATTGTATAGAGTAATCACCCCCAGTGACATAAAAAAAAAATTGCAAAATTGCTATTTGCAAGTTAATTTTAATCGATGCTGTTTTTAAAGTAAAGTTAATTGAAATTAACTTGAGCTCACTTGCAAATAGTTTGTTATTATTATTTTTATTCTACCCCCAGTTACCCCATGTATCGTTAAAAAAAAATCAAAAAAATGAATATCATTCATCGACTCAGCATTAAAAACTTTATCGATTGATGCTATTTAATTTTGCGATTTTTTTTTTATGTCACTTGGGGTGATTTCTCTATACAATGCTAGTGATCACTTAGTTTTCTTTAAAGTCTTACAAATGCTGACCTTGTGATGTCAGCTATCCTTTCCTATATTTTGAATACATAAACATAACCCTCCTTGTCTATCCTATGGGTTTTGTTTACGTTGTGTTTCGTTTAGGCACGTTTATTATGATAAAATACTCGCAATGAGTGTGACAAGCGCTGACATATCGCTTTGTTTCTCTCACAGCAGTATCGTGCCTAAAGGGTGTTCAATATTTTCATTGTTTTGAATTTTTCCAACCTTTAGAGGTCAATAACTTTTTACCTGTTACAGGTAAGGTTGCGAAGATGCGGACTTTTTTATGTAAAATTGTAGCCGCTACAACTTTTGTTTAAAATATTTTTCCATATCTGTTATAGTTCTCGAAAAAAATGAGAACAAACATGAAAAAATGCATAAAAAAGCGTTTAAAGGGTGATTTCAACCCTTGCCCGGTGTCGGAGCTCACTTTTTTTTAGGGGAAACTAATTCTACATCCCCTACAAATAGTCTATTAAAATTTTGTCCATTTCAAGATTTCACGATTTAAAATCTAATATGACTGGACTATTTAATTTGGACGCTGCTGTTAGTGGATTCTCATCCATCAGACCTCCTGGAATTCACAAGGAAGACTACATCAAAGAATTATACAGACGATATGATGATAAGAATTATAGACCGCGTTCACCACCACGTCTAGATTGGTGTTTGGAATACGACAACTCCAGAGGTGACGAGAAAGAACATGACCAACTCGGAAGTAGGAAACATATTGTCAAAAATCCAGTTTTTATGGCTAGAGTTCCTGGAGTAGTACCTGTACAAGATTTAGCTAAAGTTACAAGAATTCAAAGAAGAGTTCAAGAAATATGCCAGTGAAATAGAAGTGGCTTCCCTGGTTCTCAACCAGTCTCCATGGACCCTCGAGATCTTTCAAGAACTCTGAAAGATACTTTATTGGATGGCGATATGGTCATTGATAAAGTAAATGGTACCGAATATCCAAGGTACTTAGCTTATGATGTAATCATGTATGACAGGAACGATGTATCTAAAGAATCATTCTTCCCCGATCGATATACTATCGTCGAAAGGAAAGTAATGGAAGGCCGATATAGAACATTAAGAGAAAGTAGAATACAACGAGAACAAGAACCTTTTTCTACCCGACTAAAGCAATTTTGGGATATCACACAAGCCAACAGTTTGTTGAGTGAGAAATTCACCAAACGATTGGGTCATGAACTAGACGGATTAATTTTCCAGCCTTCGAAGGAACCCTTTATCCCTGGAACCGCAGCAGAAGTCTTAAAATAGTAGCCATTGTCATTAAATTCTGTAGATTTTAAATTAAAAAAAGTCGTTAAATCAGGTCTGGGTATTCTATCCAGAAAAGTGTAGGCTTAAAAGAACCATTTGATCGCATGAAAATCACTACAGAAATTAGAGATTTAAATAACACAATAATTGAATGTCAATTTGAAAATGGGCATTGGGTGTTTATGCGTCAAAGAACGGATAAATCTGTTCCCAATTCATTCACTACTGCTAAGTCTGTTTGCCAAAGTATTAGAGCTCCTATTACTACGGAAATTCTATGTAATTATATTGATATGTATAAATCTGAAGATGATTCTGATTGTTTGCCTCCACCATGTAAACGACGTAGATAAGAATTGATAGAAAAATTAATCACATTAACTCTTAGCTTCATAATTAATAATACTTATGATTATTAATAATTAATAATTATTATCATCAAATTAAAATAATATTTTTATAGAGATCAAATTTTCTTGAATAATCGATTCTTTCAAGATAGATTGCGAATAAAACTTAAATTGAATTTATCGGAAATGTTTTCAAAGACTGGAAAGAATGTGTGATATGGAAATAATTGTATTATAATATTTAATAACGTCTTTTGTAAAAATTAAAATGTACTATATATATTGACTTAACAATTGACTTTTGTTGAATGTAATTTTTTTTTTTAGTTAAATTAAATCATCTTACATAGAGTGAATGCATGTGTGATATTGTAATAACAGTAATTGTATCATTATATGTAAAAATGTACTATATATATTTATATATTTGTTTTAAATAAAATTTGTCACATCGATTTTTTCTATAAAAATAGCTTTCTTAATTGAAAAAATTTCTTAATTGAATTACCTTTCATCGACATAAGTACGTAGTAATTAGTTATTAAGAATTATTAATTTGAAATAAAAAAAACAAAAAAAAAAATCTAAACATATATCCCTAAAAAGACTTTATTGATAACATCTCAACACTCAACTCTGATTTGATAATATTTCTAGACATGAAGTATGAGTCATTGAGAATGAGAAACCATATAGTTTCATTTCAATTACTCAAGGAATAGAAAAGCTCAATAATAAAATATTTGAATGTAGTTTCAAGAACGGTCGTTGGGTATTTACGTGTGAAAGAACCGATAAATATTGTCCTAATTCATTTAAGACTCCTCAATGTATTTTTAATAGCATTAACGCGCCGGTAACATCTAAATTTATGTTTAATTTCTTAAGTAACATAAATTCAATGAGGATTGGGAAGATTGCTTGCCTCTACCAACCAAACGACGGAGATGAAAATTAGATTTTTTTATGTTTTTAATTTTTTGCATGATTAAAGTAGAGTGAAATGTCGCAAATTACATTTTAATTTAATATTTTTAATTTTTTTTAATGTGATCGATGATAAGAAAAGTGCGTGTAGTAATCATTACCAACGCACTAATATGAGATCTTTAAAAAAAAAAATTTTTTTCTTTACAATAATTATTTTCAATTTAAATGAAATTTTCGATTTTTGAAATTTTAATATATAATATTTTAAATCAACGGTTTAGAGTAACAGTGACCAAGCACTTTTCTGGAAATGACAAACTTCTTTTTTATCTTATATTTTTCAGCCTAGGTGGTCAAACTTTAACCTTTGACAATTATAATTGCCTTGCCGACCTTGGTGAATGCAATAAAATCTAAAATAGAATAAAGGCAGAAATTTAGGGTAATAATGTACCTGAACTTTTTTAAATGTG